AATTAAAGTTTTTGTTAATCAAATCACTTTCTAAAAGGAAAGAGAAAAATTAAAAAACGTAATCCTAAAAGAATTCAAAATCTTAAAACTCTATGTTGGTGTTTAATTAAGAATATATCTCAATTCCTAATTTGTTTAATATAAAGGAAATTTATTTATTTATATTATAATATTTTCATCTTTCGCAAAACATTTAATTAAGTAATAATATTCTCCCCATCCTTGAAATAGTGGTTATAATAAAATTATTATAAATTATAGTGTTAGAGTTGTTAATTATGAAAAGTTGATAAAGAGTTAAATGAGAATAATTTAAATTTTTAAATAATAAATATAATATTTAAAAAGAAAAATGATATATGTACCCTGTCACATTACACACCTCATCACACACTTATGGTCTCTGTTACGCACACTGATGGTCTTCATTTCGCACCCAATCATTAAACTTCTCCATCTTCTTCGACTCTAAAGACTGTTGGGTTTCTTAATCTTGCTACCATTAATGTAAGAAACAAACATCCAACCCAAAAAAGTGCTCGACGTTGCTTGATGCTGTCAACAATCCATCTGTTTTGGACAACCCATTAGACATTTCCAATAACTCACAAAGAATCAAAAAGACATTTCCAGCAATTTACAAGAAATAAAAGAAAATGCAAAATAAAATCAAAAAATTTGTTTTAAATTAGGAAAGGATCTTCTCCTTCCCATCCTCGAATGGCTCAAGAGTAACTTGTTCTTCTGGCCAAAACTGCAAGTGCACCAACTTATTCAAATCCTTGGAGAACACATCCTCCGCTGCGACAGTCGAGTCTATTGAGTTGCTTGAAACCAAACACTCAGACCCAGTTAAAATCAATCTTCCAACATGGGATTCTAGGGTTGTTCTACTCATCTAAATAATAAATTATGAACACAAATCTTAATTGAAATAAAACAATGACCTCTTTCATTTAGAAAATATGATGTATTAAGAGCCAGAATCCTAGCTTGCAATTGCAAAAAATTTCAAGATAAATGAATATGGAAAGGATTTCCTCTTTTTGTTCTTCAGTCAAATTCTACTTAAATCCATTCATTTCTACCATTTTGTTTTATTGCTAGCTCTACCCCTCAAAACCCAAATCTAAAAATCCCCAAAACTAGAAAACCTACAAAACCCAAGAGGCTCCAACCTTAGCTTTTCCGACTTGGGTGAGGACGGAATTAAGGCAAAAATAGGGTCAGTGGCAGATCTTGGTGTGGTAGTTTTAGAAAAAATGGAGGCCGAGGAAGGACAATCATAGAAATTGGAGATCAGTGCAGTTTTGATCTTGGGTTCTAGGCCATAGCTACCTACTAGGAATTTCAAAGGAGCAAACAAGCTTGAGGAGAAAGGAAAGGAGAGAGAGAAGAAAAGTGTTGGTTAATGGAGACCATCCATGTGCATAATGGAGACTATCATATGTAACAGAATGTGTAATGTGAGAAAGTAAATGTATCATTGTCCGTTTAAAAATTAAAAAAAAAATAATATATGTACTAAAATTAAAATTTGACTATAGGTTATTAATTTAGAGTTTCTTCTAGTAATGCTTTTATTGTTGATTTTCACTTAATTTGGTTGTTGAAATTTTAAAGAAAAATGAATTAAAATTAAAAAAATAAAATAAAATTTGTTATTAATTTGAAAACTTGTACCCAACAAGTTGATGCCTTTAATTTTAAATTTAATTTAACCAAATAGAGTGAAATTACTGTTAGAAAATTAATAGATTATACTAAACTAAAATAAAGATAAAAAATAATAGATAAATATGAAAGTATTTAAAAATAATAGATGAAATAAAAGAAAATACAAAAGTTAATAAACAGTTATTAAATGAAGTCTTTTTTTAAGGAGAATGCAAAAGAGTAGTTTGCCCTTTCTTCACCACACGGTTTTATAGAAAATGATTAGTAATTTTGGTACTCTTTTTTTTTACACTTAAAAATAAATTATATAAAAGAAAATAACCCTCTTTTTTATTTTGAATTTAAATTATCATTCAAGTATCTGAACTATCATGATAATGCATGCTAAAACTAAGGAAAAAGTTTTACAATTAGTGGCCTGAAGTCTCACTCACAATTCTTTATTTAGATAAAAGTAACATACACTTTTGCTAATAAACAAAACCCACGTGCATCATTCACTAAACACACTTTTTTTTTCTCTAGTTGAACGATCAGCATATTTATAAGCTAAGACTAATTCTTTTCATTCATCTTTAAAAACACTTCATATTGACTTATTACATTTACGATTTTTTTTTTTTAATTCTAATCTTAAAATTTAAAATTTGAATCTAATTTATGAAATGATAGTTAATTATTATTGGATTTAAGTTGGCTGGATTCCAAACAAAGTCTTATTATTAGTATTTACATGATTGAACAGCCTGGTTGAGTTTCTTCACAGCCGCTTCCATATCGGCACCAGCCGTCGCAAACGGGTCTCCCATAACACTGAACGCTTTTTTTTTTTTTTTTTGATCAGCAAATTTATTTTATTTTATTTAATGGAGTATAAGAGATACTCTTGCCCTTTTATAAAAAAGAAAACAATTACTCCCTACACATTGAAAAAGACACTGCAGGTGCACAAAAATTATAAAAACCCCCCAAAGAACAAAAATAATCAGTAAATAACGCACTTCAACTTAAGGACTGAAGTCATTTCTGTTGCTGATTAAACATCTTCAAGGATTTCTTGTACCACTTCAGCTCCCTTGCACACTCCATCGAGTTACTTTTCCACTGGACCAACGAAAAAACACATCCAGCCACCTTATATCTTACCCAAAAGTCAGTCTTAACTTGAATCAACTCCAACAATTGCTCCCTAATATCCTCCTCCCTCCGAAATACCAAACCATTTCTCCAATACCACAAATACCAAGCAGTAACAAGAAAAATGCATGCTCCCATCTCCTTGCCTACCAAACTGCCTAAACCGTAGATGAAAATCTCTGCCACACCCTTCACTGTATCCGGCATCACCACCTCCATACCCCACCACTTAATCATCTTAACCCAAACTACCCAAGCTTCCATACACGTGCAAAATAGATGATCAACCTCCTCCACCCCCTTCTTGCATAATCCACACATCATATTACTCCCCTGTAAGGTCACTCCTCGTTTCTGTAAATTCCCTCTTGTTGGGAGTGTATCTAAGCACAACCTCCACCCAAAAATACTCACTTTAGAAGGCACCAACCTGCACCATATCAATTTACACAACTGGCTGTCCAACAAGCATTCCACAGGAGCTAAAAAGTCATATTCTTTCTTCACTATATACCTACCCTCCACATCATACCTCCACTTCCAATAGTCGCCTACATATTTCCTAAGCTGTATATTACCCAATACCTTCCACAACTCTTTTTCCTCATCTTGCTCCTGACCCATCCTTTTTCTTCGCCACCCTATTTCCCATCTCCAACTATCCCCTTCCCAAATCCCATACTCCTGAACCATACCCTCCTTGTTAGTGGCTAATTGAAAAAGCCGTGGGAATGAATCTCTTAAAGAATTATTCTCCACCCAATTTTGTCTCCAAAAACCCACCCTACTTCCATCTCCTACCTCCCACTTAAACCCCTTCACCAGCATAGTTTTTAATCTATTGGATTTCCCGCCTATACTAAGAATGTCCCCCCAAATCTTTAACACTCGAAGCTTCTCCACATCTGTAATATTGACCTCCTACCCACATCCATAATATTTCTCTTTCACTACCCGTTTCCATAACCCCTCCCTTCCATCCCCTAGCCTATACCACCATTTTCCTAACAAAGCCCAATTTCTATGGCGTAAATCAGGAACTCCTAGTCCTCCATTCACCTTGCTACCACAAATATCCTCTCATTTCACCCACGATATCTTCCTCTTCTCGTCATTCCCCCCATTCCCACCACCCCACAAAAAAAACCCTTTGAATTTTAACCAATTGAGCATTCACAAAACTTGGCATAAAAAATAAAGACATAAAAAAGGTAGGGAGAGCAGAGAGTACTGACTGAAGTAACGTGAGGCGGCCGCCGAAGGACAGCAGGGCAGATTTCCAGACGGCAAGCTTACCACAAAA